GGGAGGGAGGGAGGGAGGGAGGGAGGGAGGGAGGGGAAAGAAAATGTCAGCCTGTAGTTACTGAGCCCTGGAGCCCCAGCTGCAGAATGCACCTCCCTCATCCCTGGTCTTTTCTTCACAGGGCTGTTACACGGTGATTCTCAATACCTTCGAAACCTACGTCTACCTGGCTGGTGCCTTTGCCATTGGGGTGCTGGCTATTGAGGTGAGTAGGGCCCCCTGGGAAGAAGCCCTGGGGCCTGGACAGCCAACCTACTTCCCAAATGCATGACTGCTGGCTGCTGCAGATGTCTGCTGCTCAAGAAATTCTTGTAGCCTGTCCCAGAAGAATAAAGACAGACAGGCCCTGAGGACACCCCACCTCACCCCAGCTCTGCAGTCCAAGTGCACTTTGTAGGACACCTAAGCTGCCTTGAAGGCTGGGGGCTTCCTGATAAGGCCCTGCCTTTGCAAGTGTTCGGGGTGTCTTTTTAACTTGCCAGTGGAGCTTTTAGTATTCTTCATCCCAGGGCCCCAAACCACACACAACTGAGTGGCTGCTGACCTTTGAGCTACCACTAGGTGGTGCTTCAGCCTTCCCTTCTTACCATGCCCTGCCCAGTTCTAGGCTACACTTTAAGACAATGAAGCCAGGCAGCTTGATGCTTGGCCCTTGCCTCCCGCTCTTCAGGGCCCCCTCAAGAGTGCTCTGGCCACCCGACACCCTGGAAGTCTCCTGTTCAGTGTCCTCTGTGTCTTGTCTCTCGGGATAATAGTTCTGTGCTAGTCACAGGGGAAATGGAGGCGGCATTCGTTAATTTCACAAGCATGTACTGAGCCCTTGCTATATGTTAGCCATGCTGGGCGTGAGCAAGGCCTCCTGTGGGAACTAAAGCCAAGAGCAGGCACACAGATCTTCCTGAGGCTGTAGCCACAAGTCACAGGTCAGAGTGCTGTGACCTCTGCAGACCTCCTCAAGTCCCTGTGAAGTGGCTGAGAGTGCAGGGGCTGGAAGCAAGGGCTCCGGGGACAGTGTGTCTTTGCTCAAGCCGGGCTACCCCACTGGAACTGTGTGACCTGAATTAAGTTGTGCAGCCTCCCTGTGCCTCACTTCCTGCTGGTTAGAAAAGCTGCCGACACCGAACTTAAAATATACTTTACATGGTAAGCACTTGGTACACACTCGTTGCCCAAGGAGGGTCATGCTTCGCTTAAAGTCTCTTCTGACCCGAGAAATACAGACGTGAACTGCTTAACCGGATCACTTACTTCCCAAAGCCCACTTCTTAGACAGATGGCAAACACATGCTTGCTCTGGGCGGTGTCAAAAATCCTCTCAGGAAGCATGCTGGGTAGCCCCTCAGTGTAACGCAACCTGACCCTGGATCACCTTCTTCCCTTCTCTACAGCTTTTCCTTATGATCTTTGCCATGTGTCTCTTCCGGGGCATCCAGTAGGCCTTGGTCTGAAGATATGCAGCCTGCCACTGCCCAGTAGCCAGCCCCTCCCCTCCCTGTCCTCTGGCCCCAGGGGAGGAGGCAAGGCCAGCCTGGAAGGCCAGGAACACAGAGCTAATTAAAACAAAAACAAAAACAAAGACAGCTGTGAACTGAAGAGGCCTCGCCTTGGCTCCAAGGCAAGAGCCTTGAACTAGTCAAGGACCTAAGGCTGGCCTGGGACCAGCTAAGACCAAAGGATTTTCAGCCTCAGAGCCCCTGGGCCCTGTCAGACTGGACTGTCCCCTGGTCTGGGTCCCCTCTCTTAGCATTTCCAGGATCTGAGCAACCAGAAGACAGGGCCCTGGAGGATGAGCCAGACTTTTCAGAAGGCCAGAATCTGCAGAACCACCTGCTGGACGGTGAAGCTGTCCCTGCTCCTGCTGGCTGAGGGTGGCTGTGTGTGGCACTGGATCTGATTTCCTCATCTCTCGGATCAAAGCCTCTCCGAGGACCACAGAAGGGCAGTGACCTGCCCACAGTCACACAGCCTGTGCATGACAAGATCACCCCAAGGTTGCTGTTACTCCAGCCAGGACTCCATCAGATCTGCCTCAACATCCCAATGTAGACTGGCCAGCAACTGCCCACACCACGTTCTACAGCTGAGAAAAGTCCATACTGTGTCCAATCTGCCCTGCTTGTTCCTTTACCTAAGCCTACTGTCATCCGTCACTTGTCCTCGTGGTCCGTACCCCTCACTCTGCCCTCAGTGGGAAGACACCCCCAGTATTGTCCATTTCTCTCTTTCTACCCGGAGCTGGAGCCCCTGCCAAGAATTCACCCCCTGCATACCTCCACCTGAGGAGCTCACTACCTCCCAATGCAGCCTCTGGTGGCACCAGCCCCTCAGAAGACAGAAGGGGGTTCCGTTTTCCAGTGCTTCTGTCCGTGTCCCTTCACTGTGTCCTTCCTAGAGGTTAAGGTCATAACTCTTTTGTCTGCAGACAAGAGCCCCACAGCCTCAGTCATCCCTACCATGACATCCTTCCTGTCCTTTTGCTGTCTGTATGGCATTTGTTATTCTCTCTAGTCTCAAACTTCCAGACTCACAGGTTCACAACCAAAACACACAGACACACACACCTCAAACTACAGACTACATTGCCAACTGGGTTACAAGATGCCCGACCCTGTCAGGACCTTGCTGAATCCTTAAGTGTTGTCTGTCAGGATCTAAAGTTTAACTCTGTCTGCTGTGGGCTCAGCAGGGTGGGGGTAGGCAATGGTGGAACAGCATGGGGCCTGCTCTCCTCTCAGAGGGAAGAGCCTGGTCTAATTCCAGCCTCCCTGGGCCTTCCTTCCTGTCACCTCAGAGTCACACCTGTCACCTCGGAGCTCCCCTGCTGCCTATGCTAGTTCAAGGGACACTCCTTTCTTTCTTCATGTCCTCACCCATCCTGGCCTTCCTGAGGGTCTTTGAGCACCACTTTTCAAAGCTGTCTTTCTGCATCCCCATAAATGAAGCCTAGAGACTGAGTCACCAGGCCAGGGGACCCCCATTGCTGCCTCCCAGCCTTGACTAAGAGAACCTTGGCTCTGACTCAAAACCCACCATGTGCTGGACTCCAATTGCCTAGGAAGGCAAACGGATCAGCTGGGATCTGTTGGGAGCTCATGGCCCAGCTGAGGGCACAGCCCAACCACAGGGGCTGCTGCCCAGAGCTAGCCCAGGCCTCTAGCAATGGGCAGGGACAAAGAGGGCTGAGAAGTCAGATATTGAGTCCAGGCAGTTCCAGGGTAGAACAGAGACTCTCACCAGATGAACTTTCCATACAGCTTTTGAAGAGCCCAAGGCAGCTCAGACCCAACAACTCCTCAACCAGCACCCTCAATGGACCAGAGAGGGGCAGGCAGTCTTCACCCTATGAGGTTGTTAACAGCCACCTACAAGGCTGTCTGAGGTCACTCTAGTGGGACTTGGTGGGCTGCTCTGTGTACTCCCAGGGGAGGGGAAGGGAGCCCTTCCTTCACCTCTCACCCCAAGACTAACAGCCTCCCCTGAGATGCCTGTGACCCTCATCCAGTAGAGAACAGACCCTGCCTGACCCAGAGCCACCTGCTGAAAAGACAGCCCTATCCTACAGGCTGGGAGCAAAGACCGCATCTGTGGCCCACTCCTCAGCACTCTGTCCCAAGGTCCTGGCTGAGCCCAGCACCCCCAGGAACTGCATCTCTCTCTCTCTCTCTCTCTCTCTCTCTGACACACACGCACACACACACACACACACACACACACACGTATGTTATAGTCTATTTTGGAATCTGTAAATGTTCCCTTGTAGTAGGAAACAGAGTTAATTTATCATTGTATCTCCCAAGCCCCCCTTTTATATTCTATATCAAGAGAAATTTTGTAATATAAACAGGACACCACACAAATCATTCTGCACTGGTTTTTGTGACTGTTTCTTACAAAAAGAAAAAGGACTGAAGAATAAATAGTGACCGTGACAAAGGCAGAAGCACAGGAGGAGCTGGGGCAACCAGGGCACCCCGGGCTTGGATTTAAGGTGGGGTTCCTATCTTCTTCATAGCCTCCTTCCAAGCTTAGTGTCTCCCCAAGGCCACATGCGTGTCTGTCTGCTGGCCTCGGTCTGGCCTTGCCCCCACCCCTGTGAAGTTACCACACCAGGGTGACCTGGCCACCCTTCCCCCACCCCCTGTCACTGAGGGGAAGACTGGCAGAGCTCTCCGAAGGGCGGAGCATGGCTCCATCTGCATTCAGAGAGGATCCAAGAGGACAAATCCCATCAGTGCTGAGAAGAGTCAACAATGCCACCCTCTACAGCAGTTGGGACTATACTGAGAGGTGGCGGTGGCTGGGCCTGTGCTCTGAGTCAAGAGGTGGGACTGAGGGACTGGCACAAAGCCAGCGGCAGAAGATGGATGCACACACTGGTCCCATCTTGAAAGCTTAGATTCTCACCACTCTGCTGGGCATGTCTCCACTAAAACTAACCTACAGTCCCCCTGCTGGGCATAGGCCATTGTCATGGAGCACTTGACTGCGGGGCCGAATGAGCTCAGGGAAGCTGTGAGCCCAGGTGCCCTAGAGAAAGGCTCCCCAGGCACAGAGGACCACTCCTCTGCAGAAGGGGAAGAGATAGGCCTAAGGCCACCTCTCTTAACTCAGTGTGCTTGCTGCTGAGGGAAGGAAAGTGCTGAGAGCTAGGACCAAGGGGGGGGGCACATGGGCTGGTGTCACTAGCGGTGGCTTCAGCTCTAATGGCCCACTGTCAGGGTGCTGAGCAAGGGCAAATCCACTTCTGTTTCCTTACTTCTATAGAGTTTGAGGGCTGTAGGCCTTGGAATAGCCTCTGGAGGAAATATTTAGCAGGTACGGAGCCAGGTGTAGTTAGCCATCCAGGCCTTGGAGGCCATACCAAGAAAATGCCCCTGCTATTTTTCCTTCAGAATTCCTCACACACTAGGAGCCTATGCTAGCCGAGGTGCCAAGGCCTGTCAGGGCCTGTGGTATACTGGCCTGTTGGGGAGAGACTGGTGCTTTAGGGTGCAGGCAGCCAGTGTATCAGAACACTCTACAACAGGCCAAAGAGAGGGTCAGGTATGCAGGCCAAGGAGAAGACCTAGGCCCAATGGAGGCAGGCATTCCCCTGGCTAGCTGACCACAGTGGGGACTCTGAAAACTCTGTGTGTGTGTGTGTGTGTGTGTGTGTGTGTGTGTGTGTGTGTACATGCGTGTGTGTGTGTGTGGTGTGGAACTCATATGGGGACACACAGTTTTCAGGTTTCTGAATGGAGAAAAGCTAAAATCTGCTGTTGGGGCTGACACAATCTCCTGGAGAGAAAAGGGCTTCCCAGCAGAGGAACTGACCTTGACTCCGCCCAGGTCCCAGCGCGCCACTCCAGACTGTCTATTAGAGTCTAGAGGTCAAGAAAGCCAGGGCGAGCGGTTGCCCCTGTATGGGGTGAGGAGTGGGGTGCCCCAGCCTGACTTATAACTCCTAGAAGCCCAGTAAGTCCAAGTTGACTCCAGGGAGTGCCTGGGAGGGGAGGAAGCTTGCGTGCACCCTGCCAGCCTACAGGCCTGCCTGGGGCCCACAGACAGGGACTTCCCCAGCCACTCTGGCCCAGGTCCAGGCCCAGGCAGGCCCCAGCCAGCTACACTTTCTTGGGTTTCCGGCCAACTTGGTAATAGTAGTAGATGCTGACAGCGACAAAGAGGAGGCGGCTGGCCAGGAGCAGCAGGGTCCCCAGGGACACGAGGCCTGTCTCCGCAAGTGTCGCAGTGACCACTGTGAAGGAAATCAGGGGAGCCAGAGGTCAGGAACAGACATGTTCTCAAGCCCCTCCCACCATGGATCTATGCTGAACACCCTCCTTCATCCTCCTTCATCCTTGGGGCTGGGAGGCCTGGTTGACCTCAAGGAGCTCAACACCTGCCCAGTCCAGCTGACAGATACCTCTAGTCTGCTTCCCCCAAGAGGCAGGTGCCTAATCAATGCACAGTCCTGAGTGTCCATGCCTAAGGGAGGGACGTGGATTGTGGATTCCACAGGTGGGCTGTGGATTCAGGATAAGGTGTATGTCGCAGGGAGTCCCCAGTGCTCTGCCCCTACACTACTCACCCAAGGACTGCACCCCAAAGTAGCAGGCCTCAGTGAGCAGTGTCCAGCGGATGATGACCTTCTCGGCTGTGTAGAGCGCGTTCCACATGATCAGGGAGATGCCTGTTGGATCAGCACAGGGTCAGCCTGAACCCCAGCCCAGGGGTCTTGACCCTCCTTATCACAACACCCACCCCTCAGATCAAACTGCCACCCCCTCTCCTAGTCCTTGTCTCTATAGACCCAACTGTCTGCTCTTGAAGCTGCTGACATCCTTCTAAAGCCCCATGCGACCGAGAGCAGGCTCTCGTCCCTGGGACCTCAAGTCTTCATCTACACAACGGTGCCACGCTAGCTCCGTTCTTGTGATGTTGTGTGGAGAGATCTGGGATCTCAGTTACCTGGGCCTATAGCTTAGTGCCCCTAACAGAGGAGCCCTGGGAGACAGAGAACTTGTGTCAGGAAGGACTTCCTCTCAGGAATTCCTGAGAAAGCAGGATAGGCCATGATGTTAGTGGAAGACCAACTATGGTAGCTTACGCCTTGATATCTGATCTCTGGACACCAGAAGTTACCACAGTGTGCTCAGCTGGTGGCAGCCACCCTGAGAACCATCTCCATCTCCACAACTGCCTTGCTCACAGCAAGTTTAGGTCCAGCTGGCACGAGACTGGAGGATGTGTGTGCGAAGGCCCAGTGGCCCTCTGAAACAGGAATCTTCCAGTGTGCCTGCCGTTGAGACCAACACACAGCTCACAGGAAGCAGGCACAGCATATGGCTGGGTCCACTGATGTGCCCATACCCCACACAGGACCTTGACTGTCGGGCATAAATGCAGGACTTTGATCTGCATACAATGGTAAGCCATAGAACATTTTAGGGAAGGGAGTGATGGCCCTGTCCGTTGAATTGTGAAATCACAATTCGGACTCTTGTCAACTGTTGTGTCCTCAGATTAGAGAAGAAATCAAAAGGACCAAATGCCCTGGGGATAAAGAAGACACTGTGCTGAGTCTGCCCTCCTCTAGGCTATAAGACTCTGGTAGGCAGGACCTGAGCTTCCTTCAGCTCTGCTCCTCAAAGCGCACTGCATGCAATTGTAGCCTCATATGTCCAACTAGCCATGTGCATTCCACAAACGGCCACAAGGTGGCAGTCCATGCTCAGCACAGCCACCGATGAAGGGAGCAGCCTGCCGGGAATGAAGGGAGGCTGTATAGGCATCCCCAAGGTTTCAGGCGTTGCCCTGAAGCCAGGTGGGCCTCTCTACTCTCCCACCATTGCCCAGAATTACTTACTAAGGAGGGCACCACCGTACAGACGGATGGGGGTCTTGCTGGTGACCTCAGCCCCATCAAAAACTGCGTCGTAGAGCTGGTCAGGGAGGGCAAGGGCCTGTGGGCAGCAGAGGATCGCAGGGTCAGCTCAGGGTCAGCTCTAGGCCGAGATGAATGCTGGGGACAGCCTTCCTCCAAGGACATAGCCAGGGTTCCCATGGTAGGACCTGATTGCCTCCTTCTTGTGGTTCCCAGAGCCCAGATCAGGTGGTGCTGGTTGCTTTGGGGCACAGCACCCTGAGGAGGGCCAGAGTGTCAGCCCTGGAACTAGCAAAGACCCTACAGGATGGGTCTCAGTGTGGAAATAGCAGTGATGGGGTGCAGAAGCGGGGGAAGGGCAAAGGCCACACCAGCCACCTCCTCCCTCCATCTAAGTCTTAGGGGTCACCAGCTGACAAGCACCAGACCTGCCTGCAGCCAGGACCGGGGCACAAGGACTCACCATGATGGCCACACTGGAGAACAGCATAGCAGAAAGAAACTGCCAGACCCTGGGGAGGTGCAGAGGGGAAAGTTACAGCTACACTCTCCGCCTGGACCCCGAGGGATCCAGAGCAAGGCCCAGTAATAACGTAAGACCCTACACATACCCGGGACACAAAACTATCAAAACAAGACCTGCTACTCACCTGAGCCCCAGAGGCTCCCGAACAGCAAACTTGATCTCATTGCCCAAGACCTGGCTGATCTGTGGACACGGAAGTCAGAGGCATCAGGGAAGGTGGCCTTCAGCATCCACCCACCCACCCTGTGTACACCCAGAACCAGAGCGCCTCTGACTGACATAGAGGTCTCGTCTCTGACCTCTCCTGTCTCCTTTGGCACCCAGATAAGAGGAAGGAAAGCCGGGATCTGCCCGCTATGGGCTGGAAGCCTGGTTCTGTCATCACTGACATAACTTCACGGAAGTTACTTAGTGTCTCAGCTTCCTCATCTCTACGTTGGGTCAATAAACAAAGGGACACCTTGCAGGGCCTGCAGGACCCACTCAAGTCTGTGCCTGTCCTCTAAGGAGCACTGGGTTCTTCCCACAAACTGTTGCCCCTATACAAATCATTCCGCTGCCACTGCAGAGGGTCCTAGAGGCACGGGGAAGCCGTAGGCCCCAGCAGTCCTGTGGCCTTGCCTCCTCTCCTCTCCTCGCGTGGCTCACCTTTGACCGGTGCACTTCGCCATCGTCATCCTCCCCGCCCACGCCCAGAATCTTCCTCGTCTTCAGGCGGCTCACAAGGTCCGTCTGGCTGTGCTTCTTCATGAGCGGAGGAGGCTGTTTGGCTGCCATGTTGTCCTTTGCTGAGGGACGTGGGGAGACACTGGCCTCGGCCATCGTTCCTGCTGGACTTCCAGACCCCAGGTCCCAATGCAAGGCGAGAAGGGTGTGGCCAGGCCCAACTCAGGGCCTGAGAGAAGATGAAGCTGCAGCTGCCTCAGTTTCTTCTCCTGTAAAATGGGTTAAGGAGGATGCTACCAACCTGACCCCTGTATAGATATGGCACAGCCTAGGTGATTAGGTCAGTCAGCCTTTGAGCAGCATATAGGCTTTAGAAAAGACATTTGGACCAGTTTGGATCTCACTGACAAAATTTATGGGTCATAGAGACAAAAAAAAAAAAAAAAAAAAAAAAAAAACCACTTCAGAGAGGTAAGGACTAGGTAAGGACTCTGTCCAAGCCCAAAGTGAACCACCTAAGTCCTAGGTTGTGGGCCACATGGACCTGTCCAGACAATCCCCATGGCAGCAAGCCAGCCTGCTGGTCTTCCTGCCCCTAGACAGCCTCTTTCGCTGGCCAGGACCTAGGGAAGGAGACGGTTTGTCATGATGAATGGAGGCATTAAGCCCAGAGAATGAGGCTGCAGGTAGTGGTCATACAGCCCAGACCTCACCCAATCCCGGCTACCAGCATCCACAGACTCTGTCCGATCCCACATCTGCCCACCATCTTCCAGAGTCCCCAGCCCTGCAGGCCAGCGATACCACAGGCCAATCCTGGGCACGTACTGTGAGACGGGCAGTGAGCCAGGTGCTGAAATGGGCACTGGAGTCCAAGACAAATGTTCTTCTCCTGTGTTCAGTCCTTATAGTCTAGAAGGAGACAGAGTTGGGAGGGGTAACAAGGTGAGGCTCTGGCTGACCCTACATAGCCCAGAACTCGGCATCACAAGGCCCTGAAGAATGGGCGCAAATGACGATGATTCCACAGGTGAGGAGAGCTCACCTGGAATGTATGGAGGCCAGCCAAACAAAAGGACAAAAGCATCCCAGCTAACCTGAGCACCAGCCAGTGCCAAGTGCCCTCTGTGCCCCAGCAACTCACTTTCCCTCACAGCCCCCTGTACCCCACATCTCACTTCCCTCACAGCCCCTTGTACCCCACCCTCAAACAAACTCATTCCAAGTCACAGTTCAGAAGCTGTCTTTCCTCCTCCAAGCCACCTGCTGCCCAGTGCCATGTCCCTGACTGAGCACACGTCTTCCACCCCAGGGAATGTCCCCAGGTCACGCTGGTTGTCAGACTCTTGAAATGAAATAAGCCATCCCAACAAACAAGCGGTAGAAAGATATGGACTGTGCACGTCAGGGTGGAGCGCACACCTTAGAAGAGACTCAGTGACAGAAAAAGTCACCACTGGGTCACGGGCCCTGACACCCAGCCCCCTTGTAAAATCTGTGGCTGTGTTTTTCCTTCCTGTGCCTGCTGGGGGTGCTGGAGACACTGGCGGGGGACCACAAAGGCTGCCTGTGCCCCTCAGCAGGCCTGAGGGAAGCAGGGGTGCCCTTTCAGTCACACTGTCCCAGGGAGGGCCCCAAATCTTTCTTCTGACCCCAAACAGACTGAACACTCTCACCAGCATCTCTAGTCCTCCATTCAAGGGTGCAGGGTGCAGAACCCAGCCCAGCCCACTTCTCCTCTAAGGACGGAAGGTCAGTCCCTGGCCACATTCTCCCACGTCCCCTCTGACCCTTCTTTTTAATCCATGCCGATAACTCATGCCACTATGTCCTGCAGGACAGGACACCAGTTCAGATGTCCAGACTGCAGTGGATGTGTGCCGTCCCAGCTAAGCCCTGATCTCCACTTCCAGCAGTTTGATGTCTGTTACTCTAGTTTCATCTGAATTTTCTCAAATGCTGCATAAACAGCATCATAAAGCATATGAACACCTGCCTGCCCAGCTTCTCGCCCCCCAACAGGATGTCTTTTCCGACTCTCCTAGGCCCAGTGCCCCAAATGCCCATTCCTTTTTTGTGCACATCAGTATCCTGTGGGATACTTGTACCACAGGGGCATCCGCTTGTTTCCCCTTCCTTTGCGTGTATCTGGAGGGATTACACATTCCCGTGCCTCTGAGGTAAAGGGGTCGGAGTGGGCCTGCTGAAGGGTGTGGGCAAAGTGAGAAGCCAGGACACCACCCGAGCTTCCACAAACCACATCCACTCCTGTCAACACTTGCTGTGGGCCGTTTCTATCTTAGCCCCACTCTCTGAGGCCCCTGGAGTCCAGCCAGGTATGAGGCTGCTTGACTCAGTCCTGCTGTGCCCCCACTTAGTCTCATGACCTTGGCTGAGTCACCTCACTAATCTGAGCCTCAGTTTCCTCACTTGTGAAATAGGACTTTAGCTCCAGCTTCCTAGAGGCCTTGAGGCAATAAGAGAAATTGGGTCAGAGTATGCAACAAGCAGCTGCGCGGAAGGGAGCCCGTTCAATGAGGCCCTGTGAAGGCGTGGGCATGGGACGCCAGAGCTCAGCTGGTAGAGAATGGGGCATCTTGTCACCAGCAGGTGGGGCAAACTAATCCCACTGTTTTCATCTGGGATATGGGGACAGCCACCCACCCTTGCTCCCAACCCCACCACAAGCTGGTCTAAGAAGAAGCAAGACCCTGGGCAGAGCCGAACTCAGAAAGTGACCGCAGCATCCACAGCAGGAGGGCTGCACACTTGCTGCCTGGACTCACTTTTGAAATGTTCAGTGGCTTAAATGGCTTAACCCATCTGATTAGCATCTGTGCCTCAGTCTCCCCATTCATGTGGGTAAAGAAGAGGCTAACTCACAAAACATAGCAAGTCTGCAGGCAGTGTCTTGTCTTAGACTGTCCACTGAAGGTGAGTACTAGACAGGGTACCACTATCCTCCCCAGCACATCCCCTACACTCTGGGCGGTGACTCTGAACTGAGAGGACCAGGAGACTGGCCTCATTACCACCACATGGGACCAAGACCTCAGTGCCCTGTGCAAGACCAGCTCCAGTGTATCCCTCCTTGTTGGGCTGGAAGCTTCTCAGCACTGTTTTCCTCTGCCCAATGTCTCACCCAACACACACACATGCACACACACACACACACACACACACACACACACACACACACGCCAGTGGCCTTCTGGCCTCCCCTCCCCCACTCTTCCCTACCAAAGCCACTTGCCAAGGGTTTCAGGCCTGATATCATTGAACATAAGTGAGGGCACCTCCCCCACTCCATTCCTGGGAATCCTGGCCACACGCTGGCTTTGAGCCAATGAACCGGGCCTTGAATCTTGGCTCTACCTACCTATGAGCCTCAGGGCCTCGGTTTCCCTCTTTGAACTGGGGATAGGGATGGAGAGGAGCCTGTGAATACAGCCGTGTACCCTCCAGCCACCGCCCTGCCCTGGGTGGGCTCTGTCCTCCTTCCTGCTGCCCTCTTTCCAGACCCAGCCGAGCAGAGCAGAAAAGGCAGCTGGCACTCAGACCTGCCCAACTTCCTGCATGCTACTCAGAGGGCCTCCACATCCCCAATGTGACCGTGGGAGGGGGAGGGGTGGCTAACCCTTCACCCTCAGGCTCAGATGTGAGCCGGAAAGAGGTAGCAATGAGGCCATGCCCTGCGTGCTGCCCCTGTCAAACTCCTTGGCAGCCATCCCCACCAAGACAGTAACTTTCCGTCCTTCTAAGAGGGACAGTCACTCTGAGCCCTTGTCCAAGTAGGAAGGCAAGTTCTACCCTGCCCTCCTCCTCAGGGCTCAGCTGGTCTCCTGTGTTCATTTCTGGCCATTTACAACTCACGGCCCATTGCTTCTCATTCCCAGGCCTCCCTAAGTCTGAGAGGGAGAGGCAGAGAGGACAAGGAGCAGGCTCTTGATTCTTCTGTACACCTAAGCTACAAGCAAGCCGGGGGTCCAAGCAAGGAGAGGGGCGTGGAGGATGAGGAACCACTCTCTAAGAGGCATGCACGTTAAACTAATGATTTCATTGGGAGCTCTGGTATAAGGGTTTGGATGATAGTGCCTTCCTGTCCAGGGAAGTGGGTGTCTCAAGACAGGAAAAGGAAGATTCTTGGGGGTACAAGGCCAGAGGATGAGGAATGTCCCTTTCTCCTTTCCTTCCTTCCTTCTTTCCTTCCTTCCTTCTTTCCTTCCTTCCTTCCTTCCTTCTTTCCTTCCTTCCTTCCTTCTTTCCTTCCTTCCTTTCTTTTTGAGTAAAGGCTTCCCTGATAATCTTGGCTGTCCTAGTAGACTAGGCTGGACTTGAACTCAGAGACACACCTGCTTCTGCCTTCTAAGTGCTGGGATTAAAGGAACATACTCTTAATGATTAGGAAAACTTGGATTCAAACTTCAGCTCTTTCTCTTCCCTGCACTGTGACCTCAGGAAAATTACTTAGCCTCTCCAAGCTTCTAAGTCCTCAGCTAAGAAACTTGGCTGAGTCTACTCAGTAGGCCTGTGATGTACCATAAAGACGGCAGCCTTGGAGCTGGGCCCCTGAACCGTGCACCACAGAGGATAGCAAAAAACTCTGTTATTAATGAATTCCTAGCTACTAGATTCAGCTCTGGGCAGCAGACCTGATGAGGCAGGGGCTCACACCTCCCATGCTCATCCTGGAGGACTTCCCCATCCTTCCCAGAAAGCCTGGTTACCATAGAAACCAATGGACTACAGCGCTGTCCCAACAGGGAGGCTGTGCCCAGGAGGGCTGGCTTAGGAAACCTGCTGCCCTGGGAGGGGGAGGGGAGGAAGGGACCCAGAACACACAGCTGCTCTGGAGATTCCCCCTGAGTCAGTTACAGCCCCTGAGCCAGGGAGCCACTTCCGCCCCAGTGTGGGCAGAGGTGCAGCTGCAACTCCCTCCTGCCAGTGAGGAGAGATCAGCCTACATGTCCAGCCTGAGCTGGGGACAGCAACCTAGGACCCCCTGAAGTCCACATTATTGCCTGTGACAACAGCCAATTCCGTTCCATTTTTCAGAGGAGAGCACTAAGGCCCAAGCAAGTCATTTACTCAGGAGTCCCTGGCTCGAAGGCTGTGGCAGCGCTAGAATTCAAGTTCGCTGTGAGCTGAGCTCTCTCTGAATCTCCTGAGAGGGTCTAGGGAGGGGAGGTTGAGGAATGGATGTCTGTGATTGTCTCTGTGCGTGCCTGGTAATGGGAGTGTTCCTGGAATACACACACACACACACACACAAACACACACACAGCCAAACATAACTGAGCTGCAAGCCGTCTTTAGAACACTCTCCCCTGGAAGTCGTGGTGTGTCCCCAATGCCTAAATAGCCCTCCTCCCTAGGACTGGCCTCTCTCCGGTTCAGGGCTGCGATGTGGGCAGGGCTCTGAGAACCAGTGCCCCAGATCAGACCCTATTGTTCCGTTATCGCTTTGTTGCAGAATAGCTGGAAGTGGGCCTGAACAACGCTGCTCACAAGTGAGGACAGCCAGAGGCAGAGTTCCGAGTTTGGAGGGCCTGGTCAGAGGGTAGACAGCAGCAAAGATTCTGGGCCCAGAGCCTCTTCTACGGCACCCCAGGGACAAGATGGAGGTCTAGCCACCTTCTAGGAACCAACTACTGGGACCCTATGGCAAAGTGACCCACATCTCAGGTGTCACAGGGAGCAGAAGGTGAACGCACCACGTTCCCACCCTAGACCTGGATTCCCAGACGCGGACTCAGGCAGGCCTGCCACCGTGGAAGAGCCGTGTTCCCTGCACATGGGTGCCGTGGTGCCCCGCCTACAAAGTCAAGGGCCACGGATCACGGATAGCAGTACTGACACACATAATGTTCCCTGTGGCACGGTCTCTTTGGCCATCTTCCAGGCCCAAGCAAAGGGAAGACGGAGGGATGCTGCTGTGCACAGCCCCTGCTGGCAGCCCAGCTGGGCCTTGGGCCCCAGAGAACATTATTCTAGCATGCTCCCTAGGTGGACAGAGCAATGATGGTGGCTGTCCTGTCACCTCCTGCCAGCTCACTAAGCTGCCGTGAGAGGGGAGAAAAGTGGGTTAACAAAGAAGGGAGCCAGCAGACAAAGACCATAATGTGAAATCCTTTAGCATGGCAGCCATGACAGACCCATCCCAGCGGCAAAGCTACGGAGTCCATGCCAGGTTCCCCGAGCCTTCAGGAACCTGACCCTTGGATCTGGAGCCTCAGGGTTTGCCCTGCCACTAAGAGGTCAGGGTGCCCCGGGTCACTGTGCTTTCAAGGCACAGCTGGGGTCACTGGCATGATGGCCCAGGGCTTGCCTTCACATCTGGTTTCTGTGTAGACGTTGGAAAATGTGGTGCTGCGGGCTGTCCCCAGTCTGACGAGGCAACCAGGACTCCAGCCGCGTAAGCACATTCGTTTGTGTTTCAGCGTGGCCCTGCCCAGCCTCGGCAGCCCTTCCTTCCTCCTCTCCTACTACCCCTTCCTCCTCTCCTACTAGGTGTGTAGATTTTATCTTCTCACTGGTCGATCTGACTTCCAGAGGGGCAGAGAAAAAAACCTTGCTGAGTTGGAGAAAGTGGGTGAGGACCAGTCCTGGGAGCCCCAGTCCTGGGAGACCCATCCCTGGGGCGGGGGCGGGGAGGGACTTCACCGTCTGAGGCAGCAGCCGCACACTCTGAGGCAGCAGCCGCACACTCACCGCTCAGGAGTCATTGACAGGGCCTTTCCTGTCTCGCTGTCACTTGCAAACGACAAGACACAGCATGGAGAATTACTGCCCTTTTCAACCCAGAACGGGACAGCCTTCCCAGAGTCTGGTGACCGAGTCAGTGCCCTCAAGGGCAACTGGCCCTATCATCCATCAGGACAGCCCTGCCTCTTGTTCCCACAGGGCTGGGGCTCTGGTGTGAATGGGGCAAAGGGGGCTTCCTTAAAGGCATGCTTCATGCCAAGCCCATATCCTCAGACCAAATGGCCTAGAGCCCTGCCTCCCCCTGGGTAGGGACCCCAGTTCAAGGCCGAGAATCTCCTCCCCATACTCAGGTTCTGACAGAGTGGTTAACAAGGGAAGTGACTCCTCAAAAGGTCCGCAGAGCCACCGACCCCATGCTCCCAACAAATTGTGTGGCCTTGGGAGAGGAACCTGCCTCTCTGGGCCTCAATTTCCTTGTCTGTTAAATGGGCACAATGAAAACACTTACTTTCTCCCGTTAGAAGTCGCCAGCAAACACCCACCAGAGCTTACATTTTGTAGCCAGTGCTCAACAATGCTGCTGTTTAGACCTGAAGATTCAACTACTTGGCCTCATTTCCCCCTTTTACTAAAGCAGTTTCTTTAGTAAAGCAGAATCCTTCCAGGATTCCATGCCCACACAAACAGAGTGTTCCAAAGAGGGTAGTATCAGGAAGAACTGGGGTGAGAAAGAATAGGGGTGACTCTGGGTCAGGACCAGCACTCTGACGGGGGCAGGTGGCGAGAAGCATGAGGGTACTGGGGAGACAGGACAATGGGGGCAACTCCCTGTCCCTGGCTGCGTGGCTGTGCTGGGGGTCTGGGGGTGAGGCTTTGCCACCTACTCAGACCACCATGGCCAATCTGTGGATGCCCCTCCTGGGGGGGGCAGCTTACAGATCCTCTCCCCTATGAGATGGGGGATCCCCATCCTTTCTCACCAGTGCTCTCCCCAGCCCCTCCCCCACGGGAGCAGCATGCTGCTGCCTCAGGCGCTCTGCACCAGGTATTCGGCAAGGTTGATTGGAAAAGCAGCCCTGGCCACTCCTTAAAATGTCCTCAACAGTCCAACGCTCTCTGTGTTCCCCTGACCTCCACCCCACATTACAGAATTTGCTTCTCCCTCTTTCTGAGACAAGGGTCTTCCTACATGGTCCAGTCTGACCTGGAACTCAAACTCTTCCTGCCTCAGCCCTCTGGGTGCTGGGACAACTCCAAGGCACCACACATGACCGACTGCTTATTTATTATTTATTTTCTTCTCCTTGCTTAAGCCACAGCACCACCAAAGGGAAGCGTCATGACAGCTTCCACAGGTGTGCGGGGACCTGTGGGACCTGTGTCAGCCATTTGTGTCATCACTTTTTTGTGGAGTACTCACAGATACTTTAGGCAGTGAATGAACACACAGAAAACCTAAGAACAATGATTGAAGACCCTGCCCCTAGCCAGGAGCCTTAGGCCTTCTCCAGCAGAGGGGGCTATCACAAGTCCTACCTGAGAGCTGGGATGGTAGAAGCTGCGAGGTAGGGGGCCGTAGGGGGCCGGAAAGATAAAAGCGGGGGACATCAAGTGGAGGCAGCCAGACTTAAGTCCTGCAAAAGAGAAGTCAGTGTCCTAGGACACTGAGACCAGAGGGCACTTTACGGGAGGGCAACGTCTGGACAAAGGCGACAACAGAAATCTGAAGAATACTCTCATTTCCCAACGACCCTACAGGTCGTTGCCTCAGACTGAGCTTCGGGCTGCCACTAAGAAGCAGATAGTGTCTCTCCGGATTCTTCCATGAATCCACCACAGTTCCGCGGCCGGCTGCAGTTGGTGGCCCCTCTCCGGAAGCCTCCAGAGGTGGCGTTTCAACGAGGAAAGGCACAGCTAGATGGGCGTCCCCACAATCCAGGGACTTATTCTCTCCCGCCAGGCCCCATCCAGAAAAGTTTATCTCAAAAAAACGAAACAGGAAGTGCGGTCGCGGGGAGGGGGGGGGTACTTCGAGGAGGCCTTGGCCGTGTACTTGGCTTTGGGGCAAGGTGGTGGCAGTTCCTGGACCTCTCCCTGCTCCTTCATCCCATAGGCAGGAGAAGCCAGCTTCACCCAGGCTGCAAGAAGGAGGCGGAGAGGGGACTCTAAGGGAACGCCTGGCCCTGATGGATGGTGCGCTGAGCATTTTTGCGCACTACATGAGACCCCAATACATCCTGAGCCAGCCAATGGCCCCGCGCTGCTCCCTCGCAGCTGACCGCGCGCCTTAGAAAAGAGGATCGACCTGATCCACCTGCGATCCCCTCATGACTCCCCTAGACTAGGATCTGGCCCAGTCACGCTTCCGTCCGCTTCTCTCCAGCAGGGGCTCGGAAGTATCACCGGCCTTGCGCCTTCCCCCCTCAGATCTATCCCTCCTCTCCGCGCTGCAAACACTCCTCTACTTAGTGAGGCGGGAGTAGGCGACTCCTCCAGCCCCCGCACCCACACTGAAGGTCCAGACAGACCAGTGGGCAGCGGGTACCCTGCCACCTCCTTTGCCCGAGTACCGGTGCGGACAAAGACAAGGGAACTCGCAAGTTTGCACCGCGCAATCCTCGGGCCAGGAAACAAAGGCGGGAGGGGGTGCGGTGGCGAGAAAGGGGGAGGGGACCGAGAACTAAGCACGGAAGACACAGACCCGGCGACAGTGAAAACTGCTTCACGCTCCGTTCCCTCGGGCTCCAAAGCAAAAAGCTATAGTCCGGAAGGAGGCCGAGGGCGAAATAAACACCCCCAGGGGTTGGAGGTGGCAGAGAAGAGAGCTGGAGGAGAAAGGGAAACCGAGTCAGTGCAAGGAGACAAACAAAAAGAACAGGTCGGTGCCTCGAGGAGCTCAGAGGGGGTCCCGGGCGCCGGCAGACCCGCCGGTGACGTGCTGTCCCGGCGTCCGGCTGGCGTGCGCAGGGTGCTCGCTGCCCCCCAGAGTTCCCTAAGGCCCCCAGCGCCCCTGGGCTCCGCTGCGCAGGCAGCGGCCGGCGCGGTGGCAGCGGCGGGGAAGTGCGAGGCTCATCAGCTGCGGGAAGCGGACTTACGTTCCTAGCGCGCGGGGTGCTGCGCTCGCGGAGCTGGCGTGCCCCGCTGACGCTTCGGCCAGGGGAGTCTCACATCGCGGTGCCGCGCCGGGCGAGCGGGGCAGGGCAGGGCAGGCAGGACTCCAGCGCCGCTGGGCTCGTCAGAGTCTGGCGGCCCGCACTGGTCCCTCCTCTAGTGCCGCGCACAAGCCAATGGCACGCCGTCCCCTCCCACGCTCCTGGCTGCCTCGCCCCCGAGGTGGCCAGGGCGGGCACAGAGGGATGGGGGAGACCCAGGGCTGCGTCCGAGGCCTTGCCGGGAGCCACCTGCTGGGGGCGCAACCCCGCTTAGCCATGGGATCCCCTGTCGGGGACACCCTTTCGCTTCGCCACCCAGGACTTTCTCGGAAGTTCTGAAAACAGCGCCCCTTTCCCGGGACTGCAAATATCCCCTATGAGTCGATGAAATACTCCTTCTCAAGCCTAGGCCGGTGTCTAGGAAGGCAGGGGCCGGCTTTGATTGGCAGCACCCCCTCTCACCGCAGTGTGAACTAGCACGGTTGGATAGTAATGGTCACTGTTTGCTAAAACACTTTCAAGAATGAAATTTTTGCGTTCTCAACAGCTCAAGAGGTTTATAGGACTAGCCCCAGTTCACAGATCCGTGAATCATTAAAGACCTGAAGATGATGGAGAACGGGTGCTCTTTCAGCCCGGCTTGGTTCCTCAGCTTGAAGTAACTTCAAAAGACAAGGACTCTCACCCCACGAAGACCTTCGACCTCAGTCCCTGTGCTGTCTGCTGCACGTGTCAGGGCTGGGGGGGGGAGGGTCTTACCTGGGACTGCAGAATATTTGTTGGGGGAACCAAGCAGCCTTTTATCTCAGCCCTTGCCGAGAGTGTTTCCTCGGGTCCTGGGAGATCTTCAGGAGCCTATTAGCCTAAAAGACAGGCTCCTACAATATCCGGTCCCTGCCTGGCTCTTTAAAGCTGTTGAGCACCCAGAGCCTCCCTCCCGCTGAGAGAAACCGCGGGATTCTGTCCTCAGACTGAAGGTAAGTAACGCCAGCAGGCCTGGAGGGAGGGTGGGGACCGAGAGAAGCAAGGTAAAGAAGTGGTGCGGAGAGGAGAGAGGCTGCCCCCAAACTCCAAGTAGGTCTGCCTCCGGCTGCTGAGTTTTGCTTCGCTTTTCTACTCCAGGCCGCAGAACCAGAATACCTGGGTTCAAACCCAGGCTCTGTCTTTTAGCGTGTCCCTGGGCAAGCAAAGTTACCTGACCTCTCCAAGTCTCCTTATCTACAAAATGGGTGTGGCCTAAGCAGGAAGTACTCTGTGGCTATTGTTGGGATTTCCAGTTACTGTCGCAGCCCCTGCTTAACCAAGTCTGACAACAGTGTGAGGTGCTGAAGTCCCAGGAGGCTCCATGGCCCTCCCAACAGCTGGGGCTGCACAGGAGGGGCTGTGCCCTTTGTTAGGAAGTAAACAGAACAGTGCCTGGTAAGTAGCAAGCCTGCTCTCAGTGGCTGTTAGCCTCCTGATTACCAAGGCAACTAAACTCCCTTCCCACAGTGCCACCCGCTCTTGCTGAACACCTGGCCAGTGATGGCCAGTAATGAATGAATCACACAGCCAGTCATGTCTGTGGCTCTGGATCAGGCCTGTCTCGAGGTGTGCGGAGTGAAATGCACAGCCGAGCCTTCTGTCCCTGACCAGGGCCTTCATCGCGGCCTGTTCTCCAGAGATGGAACGATGAGTTCATTGCTGCACCATCTGTCCCTTTAGCATGCAGGGCTCTGAACTGTGTCACTGGAACTCAGTGGCATCCCTGAGCACTCCACCCCCACACTTGGAGACAGCTCCCAGTGTTCCATCAGAAGGACCTGAAGGCAGAATTCCAGAGGCTAGACCTGATGCTGACTACTACCCTTCCTTCCTTGTTGTAGAAGGAGTGAGCTCACTGTCACTAGAAGCATACAAACAGAGCCAAGGAGGAGCTAGAGCCGATCGCCAGTGGCAAGGCACCCTTCAGTGGTGCTTGATGTAGGCAGAGCCTCTGAGCTCTGGGTGTCTGTGTTCTGGGGTTTCCATGTCCATCTATAAGGAGGTGGGAGCCCCACAATGCTTTGCAAAAGAGGTATAGCTATGCAGATGGGCCCTGTATGTCAGGTAAAGTGCTGGGTCCTAGGGCCTTGGAGTTGATAGAGAGATGTAGTGGCATTTCAAATATATTTTAATAAATAAAGACTGCCTGAAATAAAACTGAGAGTAAGCTGTTATGGATAATGGTCAAGACAAAAGCTAAACAAAGGAAATTAGTTTCAAAGTTCTTGGGATTTGTTTGTTTTTTGGGGTTTTTTTCATAGTCATATCAGGTATGTTTTCAAGGTCAACAAAGATATAATTTAAATACATAGGTAATCTTCAAAACTTCAGAGATCTACAGAATATGGCATTTAAGAAGTTTTAATAACTTAGGTTATTCTTTTTATGACAATGAGACATGTCTGCTCCTGGCAGCACCAATCTACTTCAGTGAAGATAATGGGCATTGAAGAAACTTACCATGGAGTTTACTTTCTTTGTGGCAAAAGTAAGTCACTGGGCAAGAAATGCCCCTGCCTCAACTGCTGACATTATGCTGTCCTAATGAGACGAGCAGGACACAAAACGTCCTGCTTCTCAGAAAAGTCTGTTGAATGCTAGGCCCATAGTCTGAAGATGGATGCCCCAACACTGCAGAGAACTTTGGGTGATTGTACAGGCTATCCGTTTCTGTCATTACACACTTTTTGGAAGTTGCGTGTTTGCACTTCCTGCTCACTCAGTTAGTATTATTTCCTTCTCGGGTCTCTGAGGGAGTTGAAGGTTAGATAGTTATAGTCATTGTTTTCCTTGTTTCCCTGACTCAGAAAGCAAGTTAAGATAGAAAGTAAAGGGGCTGGAGAGATGGCTCAGAGGTTAAGAGCACTGACTGCTCTTCCAGAGGTCCTGAGTTCAATTCCCAGCAACCACATGGTGGCTCACAGCCATCTGTAATGATATCTGGCGCCCTCTTCTGGCCTGCAGGCATACATGCAGACAGAATACTGAGAATATTGTATACATAATAAATAAATAAATCTTAAAAAAAAGAAAGTAAATTAGGCACAAGATTTTGAACTCACCAAAATAAGATAAACATAGAACATTTTCTATGAATTTGTCAAATGCAAATGGACTAGACATTGTTAATGTATTTATTGCCTGTATTTATTGTTTATAGTCATTGCATTTATTGTATATAGTTTTCTTATATTAGTTATAACCGTCTTTTTTATTAGACAAAAAGGGGAAATGTAGTGGCATTTCAAATGTATTTTAATAAATAAAGACTGCCTGAAGATCTGAGAGTAAAACAGTCCCACTGGTCAGCCTTACAGACAAGATTATGATAACACACACCTTTAATCTTAGTAACCATAATGATACACACCTTTAATCCCAGTAGCCACTCTAGTTGCCATACAGGCTGTGCATGCCTTTAATCCCAGTGGTGCTCACCTTTGCTCTCATCCCTAAAGGGGAATATAAGATGGGGAAGACAGCTCTCAGACACAGTCTTCTCTAGGAGGCAGGATCACAATTTCAGACTGAGGTCAAGGTAAGAGCCAGTGGCTGGCTGTTTTGGTTTTCAGATCTTCAGGTTGAACCCCAATTTCTGACCCTGGATTTTTATTAATCATGCTTCAGACAAGTGGCATCCCTGTTCCTAGAGGATTATCAGCCCCTTGGGGGGACAGATTTGTATCCACAATCGTGAGAAGGGAAGTAGCTTGCAGCCTGAGCTGATAGACTGGGAGACTGAGAGAACACGGAGCTCAGAGGGCATCCACACCAGCACCTCCAAGTGCAGAGCCCTCTGATGGTCCTTATCAGCTCTCTCTGGCTTTGGCTTGCCAGACACAGAGTGCTCTCTACTACTAATGCAGTCCCTTCTTAACTGGAAAAACAGCGCTGAGTGGCAAGAGACCATCAACCCATCTTGCCGTCCATTTCCCCTAGAATGCCGACCTCTGTTCATACACTTCTCCAAAGTAATGTGCATTTGTTTAAGAACATCTCTAAGGCCACCACTCAGCCCTTGACATGTCCTCAACCAATTAATGGAGACAGGATGGGGTGTCCTTCCCAGGAGTTCCTGGCAGTGTAAGAGAAATGCTTGCTGAGCCCTTTGTCCAAACGTGTTTCTGAATTACCTCATCTTCCCATTGGCTGAAGGCAAGCTTACCTGGTTGGGCACGTCATAACATGAGACAACACAGATATTTAGCCTGTGTGGATTCTGAGGGTGAAAGCTACTCGATGCTCCCTGTCCTGGTGACCCTACATTGCTCCTTGGAGGGAGATGGACATACGGCCATCACTGCTCTTTAGAGCTTGAAGAAGCCAGTGAAGGGACTGGATAAGAAGGTTTGCCAAATGGAAACTTGAAGTCTTATTGTTCCCTTAGAGGCTGGCCTCTGAATGTGCTAAAATGTTCTACTGAAAGTCTTGGGAGTGGGGCTGGAGTTGGGGAGCAGCTAACCAGTGAGTGTCACTTCTACGAAGACCCGGCAGCTGCTGCTTCATCTGTCTTATCCTGGGCTTCCTCAGCAAAAACAGCAGAGCCTCTGTGCCCTAGAGGGAGGGTGTCTGGGCAAGGGTATGGGTGACTATGCCAGGGCTGTGCAGGTGGGCATGAGCAATGGGGGAAGGGCATGTAACTCACTTCCGGACTGTGGTCCCTGAGGAAGAGGATATGCCTTCAATGAGCAGAGCATGGTGACACATGCTCAACTGTGATCCCAGCACTCCAGAAATGGACACAGGAGGATCATTCTCAGCTCACCATGAGGTCAGGACCAGCCTCAGCTATATGAGACACCATCTCTAAATGAAACAAAAACCAAGGCGCAGGTTAGAGAGATGGCTTAGTAGGTAAAAGGCTTGCTGCACAAGCTTGAGGATTTGAGTTCAATCCCTAGGCCCTAAGTTAAGGCGGAAGGAAGGAAGGAAGGAAGGAAGGAAGGAAGGAAGGAAGGAAGGAAGGAAGGAAGGAAGGAAGGAAGGAACTGACTTCTGCAAGTTGTTCTCTGAGGCCAGCGTGAGTGTCATGACATGGTACTTCCATCATATTTATCGTCATCATCATCATCATCACCATCATCATCATCACCATCATCATCATCATCACCATCATCATCATCATAACAGCAGTAATAATTAAAAACAAAGGTGCTTACAGTTAGAGCAGAGTTAGAGGGGAATGGAAAGGCTATGGGAGCTAGCACTGGACATGATCTTTAGAGCATGGCCCAGGCAGAAAGGTCTCAGCAATGCTACCTCCCTGAACATGCTGGAGGAGGACAGGACCGTCTGAGTTCAGCAGTAGTTGAACCTGGGAGTATTGGACTTGACAAGTATGGTTTAAATCCTGGCCAGGGGACCACAGGCCAGCAGTTCTACTTCTCTGAGCTGCTGCTTTCCTCTCTGTAAGAGTTAAGAGCTGGGTGAACTTTGTAGAAGTCACAGAAACTTTAACCATGACAATAAGCCTTTAGCTTGGAGCTGCTGTTGCTGCTGTTATTGCTGCTGCTGCTGCCACCACCAGGAGCAGGGTAGAGGTGTTTCTGAAACTGTAAAGGGTGACTCCGAGGTGACAACTGTTGAACCAGGGTCAGTTGAGACTGCAGCAGGGATACCTTTGAAACCCAAGCAGACGCTGCGTCCTCAGAGATCCCAGGCTCCCTCACTTCTACCGTTCCTTTCTTTTTAAACCTGCCTAGCCATGACATTTGGCATAGAGCTAGGCTGAGCAGAGCTTTCGGGGTCTGAAGGAGAAGGGATTCCCAGGCTGGCCCTCCCTCCCTCAACCTGCCTGCTTCCCCCCTCCCCCACTTCAGTCTGTAAACTAGCCCAGTCTCATCCCTAACTCACGCCCCCACGGCTGCCCTCCCTTGCTGACTCATCTCCACTGCCACACTTGGCTTGTAGCTGCTGTGGGAGCAAGAAATATCACACAGCTCCTCACCTGGGAGAAAACGAAGCCAATGGCTGCTCGGGACAGGGGGCGGGGAGTGGACACAAGACACTCCGGCCACTCAGAAGAATGGTGGCAGCTTGGGAAGCCAACCCATGCCAACAATGGCAGGAAAGCTGAGGAGCTGACAAGACCAGCCCAGCAAATCCCTCCTGAACTGTAGCACGAATGATAAAA